CGGCGTATGGGCCCCTTTTTGTTTTTTGGAAAAGGGGGCGATTTGGAGTTTAAGGTTTCTTATGGGGAAAATTCGAGGCAAAAAGTTCCGCTAAGGTCTTAAAGGTTTCTTATGGGGGAAATTCAAGGCGAAAAGTTCCGCTAAGGTCTTAAAGGTTTCTTATGGAGAAAATTCGAGGAGAAAGAGGCCGCTAAAGTCTTAAAGGTTTCTTATGGGGGAAATTAAAAAAATTTCAGAGTTCAGTTTTATGAAAATATTTCAGAGGGGGAGTTCATAGGAGTTTATTTACGAGTTTAAGACCGAAATTATTAAAAAAAAAGATACTATTTTCAGATAATATTGTCATAGAAGTTTTGTTAAGGAAAGCAGACATCTTAGCCGTGACTATTACTTACCCATTTCACCTGTGAAAGACAGAAAATTATTCAGAGACCATTTGAGGACCGAAATTTACCGAAATTTGACAGAGATTATTTTAGACCCAAATAATTTCAAGGACCATATAAGACCGAAATGAGACATGAGTTTAGACCCAAATATTGTCAGAGACCAGTAAAAGACCTAAATTATTTTGAGACCAGTAGAAATCTGAAATTAGTCAGAGCCCAATTAAAAGACCAAAATTAGTCAGAGTCCAGTTCATAACAGAAAATTAAGGCAGAATCCATTTGAAAACCGAAATTCGTTAGAGTCCACTTTGAGACCATAAATATGACAGAGACCATTTTAGACTAAAATATTAACAGTCTACTTTGAGACCAATATTCCTCAGAGTCCAGTTGTAGACAGAAATTCGTCAGAGACCAGTTGCAGACCAAAATAAGACAGAGTTCAGCTGTAAGACCGAAATTTAACAGAGTCCCCTAATGACCGAAAATTAGTCAGAGTCTACTTTGAGACCAAAATATCTCAGAGTTTTACTTACACCTCCGTTCTTAAAGAGTTCTTATGGAGGAAATTCAAATATTATCAGAGTCCAGTTGAGACAAAAAATAATGAACAGAGCCCATTTTAAGACCAAAATTTGTTAAGAGACCGCATTTATAAGTGTAGTTTCGCTACTAACAGCCGAATTTTAGCCTAATTTAAAACCTATTTTTTTTATTTTTAGCCTAATTTTAATTTCGTAGGTAGTAAAATAGATCAACGCAGATACCAAATTCTAGCTCCTGTCCCCACCTTAACCCCCTCGCATATCTTCGTTAGTACCTATTCAATTTCCTTAAAATTTTAAACAGTCATATTTCTGACGTAGTAAATCAAATAAAGTCACTAGGCAAGTTCTAGCGCCTGTCCCCCACCTTAGTTCCCACTGTCGTAAATTAAATACTAACAGTCGAATCTCCCTGAAATTTAAAACATAGCTATTTCAGACGTAGTAAATAAGATCCAAACAATTACCGAGTTCTAGCTCTTGTCCCCGTCTTAACTCCCCTCTCACATCTTTAATACCTAATCAATTTCCCTATAAGCAGTTATATTTCAGACATAGTAAAATAGTTCCGAACAATTACCGAGCTCTAGCCCCTGTCTCCGCCTTAGTCCCCTGCCGTAGATTCGCTACTAACAGACCAGACCAGACCAACTCAGCAGTTACAACTCGGCATGCCTTTCTCAGCGGTTGCAAATCTGCATGCCTTTCTCAGCGGTTGCAACCCTGAGCAGGTGTAATGCTGCATTTATTTCCCAGCAGCTGCAACGCTGCACGCATTTCTCAGCTGCTGCAACGCTGCACTAATAGCTGTACCACACGTCCTTCAGCTGTACCACTCGTCCTTCAGCTGTACCACTCGTCCTTCAGCTGTACCACACGTCCTTCAGCTGTACCACTCGTCCTTCAGCTGTACCACTCGTCCTTCAGCTGTACCACTCGTCCTTCAGCTGTACCACACGTCCTTCAGCTGTACCACTCGTCCTTCAGCTGTACCACACGTCCTTCAGCTGTGCCACTCGTCCTTCAGCTGTACCACTCGTCCTTCAGCTGTACCACTCGTCCTTCAGCTGTACCACACGTCCTTCAGCTGTACCACACGTCCTGCTGCTGTACCACACGTCCTTCAGCTGTACCACACGTCCTTCAGCTGTACCACTCGTCCTTCAGCTGTACCACACGTCCTTCAGCTGTACCACTCGTCCTTCAGCTGTACCACACGTCCTTCAGCTGTACCACTCGTCCTTCAGCTGTACCACTCGTCCTTCAGCTGTACCACTCGTCCTTCAGCTGTACCACTCGTCCTTCAGCTGTACCACTCGTCCTTCAGCTGTACCACTCGTCCTTCAGCTGTACCACTCGTCCTTCAGCTGTACCACACGTCCTGCAGCTGTACCACACGGCCTCCAGCTGTACCACACGTCCCTCAGCTGTACCACACGTCCTACAGCTGTACCACACGACCTTCAGCTGTACCCCACGTCCTCCAGCTGTACCACTCGTCCTTCAGCTGTACCACTCGTCCTTCAGCTGTACCACTCGTCCTTCAGCTGTACCACACGTCCTGCAGCTGTACCACACGTCCTTCAGCTGTACCACACGTCCCTCAGCTGTACCACACGTCCTCCAGCTGTACCACACGACCTTCAGCTGTACCCCACGTCCTCCAGCTGTACCACACGTCCCTCAGCTGTACCACACGTCCCTCAGCTGTACCACACGTCCTTCAGCTGTACCACACGTCCTGCAGCTGTACCACACGACCTTCAGCTGTACCCCACGGCCTTCAGCTGTACCACACGTCCTACAGCTGTACCACACGTCCTTCAGCTGTACCACACGTCCTTCAGCTGTACCACTCGTCCTACAGCTGTAGCACACGTCCTTCAGCTGTACCACACGTCCTACAGCTGTACCACTCGTCCTACAGCTGTACCACACGTCCTTCAGCTGTACCACACGTCCTTCAGCTGTACCACACGGCCTACAGCTGTACCACACGTCCTTCAGCTGTACCCCACGTCCTTCAGCTGTACCACACGGCCTACAGCTGTACCACACGGCCTACAGCTGTACCACACGTCCTTCAGCTGTACCACACGTCCTGCAGCTGTACCACACGACCTTCAGCTGTACCCCACGTCCTTCAGCTGTACCACACGGCCTTCAGCTGTACCACACGTCCTACAGCTGTACCACACGTCCTTCAGCTGTACCACACGTCCTGCAGCTGTACCACACGACCTTCAACTGTACCACACGTCCTTCAGCTGTACCACACGTCCCTCAGCTGTACCACACGTCCTTCAGCTGTACCACACGTCCTCCAGCTGTACCACACGTCCCTCAGCTGTACCACACGTCCTACAGCTGTACCACACGGCCTACAGCTGTACCACACGGCCTACAGCTGTACCACACGTCCTACAGCTGTACCACACGTCCTTCAGCTGTACCACACGTCCTTCAGCTGTACCACACGTCCCTCAGCTGTACCACACGTCCTTCAGCTGTACCACACGTCCCTCAGCTGTACCACACGTCCTTCAGCTGTACCACACGTCCCTCACTGTACCACACGTCCTTCAGCTGTACCACACGTCCTTCAGCTGTACCACACGTCCTTCAGCTGTACCACACGTCCTTCAGCTGTACCACACGTCCCTCAGCTGTACCACACGTCCTTCAGCTGTACCACACGTCCCTCAGCTGTACCACACGTCCTTCAGCTGTACCATACGTCCCTCAGCTGTACCACACGTCCTTCAGCTGTACCACACGTCCTTCAGCTGTACCACACGTCCCTCAGCTGTACCACACGTCCTTCAGCTGTACCACACGTCCTGCTGCTGTACCACACGTCCTTCAGCTGTACCACACGTCCTTCAGCTGTACCACACGTCCTGCTGCTATACCACACGTCCTTCAGCTGTACCACACGTCCTTCAGCTGTACCACACGTCCCTCAGCTGTACCACACGTCCTTCAGCTGTACCACACGTCCTGCTGCTGTACCACACGTCCTTCAGCTGTACCACACGTCCTTCAGCTGTACCACACGTCCTGCTGCTGTACCACACGTCCTTCAGCTGTACCACATGTCCTTCAGCTGTACCACACGTCCTTCAGCTGTACCACACGTCCTTCAGCTGTACCACACGTCCTTCAGCTGTACCACACGTCCTACAGCTGTACCACACGGCCTACAGCTGTACCACACGTCCTACAGCTGTACCACACGTCCTTCAGCTGTACCACACGGCCTACAGCTGTACCACACGTCCTACAGCTGTACCACACGTCCTTCAGCTGTACCACACGTCCTACAGCTGTACCACACGGCCTACAGCTGTACCACACGTCCTACAGCTGTACCACACGTCCTACAGCTGTACCACACGACCTACAGCTGTACCACACGTCCTACAGCTGTACCACACGTCCTGCAGCTGTACCACACGTCCTACAGCTGTACCACACGTCCCCTCTCGCCCACTGGGTATTCTTTTCAATATTAGATTGATTGATCTTATAATTATCAAGATTTAACTTTTCACTGGTCATTATTGCCTAAGCCAGAGATAAATCTTGCTATTACACAACAAATAATTAAAAATATACCTTCCTGAGCATGCGATATGATCGAGCATAAAATTATTTATACTGATTACTATAAGGTTTGAGACCATTTACATTTTGTTTATATTACAATAAAATAGTGATGATTTTCTGTAAATCTGAGAAAACTTAAAATTATGGGGAAAACTTCTATCCTAATTTCATAACGATATGGCAAAAACATAATATAATGTTAAATTGTTAATATTCAAAAAATGTATAGATTTTCCCTATTAAACTATTTTTTATTTTAACTTAAAATAAAAGGGCATAAAATGTTTGTTTACGAATATTAAGAATTGTGCAAAGTGATGTAGGAGAGCAGAGATAAACACACATTCCAAGGGTTAAGAAAGCTATGAAGCATAACAAGATCGTCACAGGAATATTGCATCTGCATTTCAGCAATGAACACATGAAGGTAAGATTTAAACAATGTAGTTTTACTTACTAACGATGTTATGAAAAAATTTGCACCATGCAGGATTTGTGTGATTTCTCTTCATTACAGAAAATTTTGAATCGCAGCTTTTGGCATCTCGTGTGAAACCAAGATCCCTCAGTCCAACTGAGACATATTCAAAGTCTTCCCATTGGAGTTTGTCTCGGTCAATTTGACTCAGAATGGTAATGAAAGAGTCTAACTCAGCATCAGACCAATTTTTTTTTGCCATGTTGCCCCCAGTTGTCTCTTCCAGTTTCGTCAAATCTGCAAACAAAAGCAATTTTTACAAAAAATAGGTTTGGTTCCAAACAGTTTTAAAATATAGCACATGTATTTTAATTTAAATATTGGTTAATTTTATATAGCAGCCACTGAGAAATACAGAGGAGCAACCAAGATGTCTTGCATTGACTACCCTGTGCAACACCACCCTTGTCCTACAGTAATGCAATATTTGCACAACGCTGGCAATGTGACTCGTGCTTCCCAGCGCAGGAAGCACGAGGCATGCTCCTTGGCGTGAGAAAACGCGACTCATGCTCCCCGGCACAGGAAACGTGACTCATGCTCCCCGGCACAGGAAACGTGACTCATGCTCCCCGGCACAGGAAACGTGACTCATGCTCCCCGGCACAGGAAACGTGACTCATGCTCCCCGGCACAGGAAACGTGACTCATGCTCCCCGGCACAGGAAACGTGACTCATGCCCCCCGGCACAGGAAACGTGACTCATGCCCCCCGGCACAGGAAACGTGACTCATGCCCCCCGGCACAGGAAACGTGACTCATGCTCCCCGGCACAGGAAACGTGACTCATGCTCCCCGGCACAGGAAACGTGACTCATGCTCCCCGGCACAGGAAACGTGACTCATGCTCCCCGGCACAGGAAACGTGACTCATGCTCCCCGGCACAGGAAACGTGACTCATGCTCCCCGGCACAGGAAACGTGACTCATGCTCCCCGGCACAGGAAACGTGACTCATGCCCCCCGGCACAGGAAACGTGACTCATGCTCCCCGGCACAGGAAACGTGACTCATGCTCCCCGGCACAGGAAACGTGACTCATGCTCCCCGGCGCGGGAAACGTGACTCATGCTCCCCGGCGCGCGAAACGTGACTCATGCTCCCCGGCACAGGAAACGTGACTCATGCTCCCCGGCACAGGAAACGTGACTCATGCTCCCCGGCACGGGAAACGTGACTCATGCTCCCCGGCACGGGAAACGTGACTCATGCTCCCCGGCACGGGAAACGTGACTCATGCTCCCCGGCACAGGAAACGTGACTCATGCTCCCCGGCACGGGAAACGTGACTCATGCTCCCCGGCACAGGAAACGTGACTCATGCTCCCCGGCACGGGAAACGTGACTCATGCTCCCCGGCACGGGAAACGTGACTCATGCTCCCCGGCACGGGAAACGTGACTCATGCTCCCCGGCACGGGAAACGTGACTCATGCTCCCCGGCACGGGAAACGTGACTCATGCTCCCCGGCACGGGAAACGTGACTCATGCTCCCCGGCACGGGAAACGTGACTCATGCTCCCCGGCACGGGAAACGTGACTCATGCTCCCCGGCACGGGAAACGTGACTCATGCTCCCCGGCACAGGAAACGTGACTCATGCTCCCCGGCACGGGAAACGTGACTCATGCTCCCCGGCACAGGAAACGTGACTCATGCTCCCCGACACAGGAAACGTGACTCATGCTCCCCGGCACAGGAAACGTGACTCATGCTCCCCGGCACAGGAAACGTGACTCATGCTCCCCGGCACGGGAAACGTGACTCATGCTCCCCGGCACGGGAAACGTGACTCATGCTCCCCGGCACAGGAAACGTGACTCATGCTCCCCGGCACGGGAAACGTGACTCATGCTCCCCGGCACGGGAAACGTGACTCATGCTCCCCGGCACAGGAAACGTGACTCATGCTCCCCGGCACGGGAAACGTGACTCATGCTCCCCGGCACAGGAAACGTGACTCATGCTCCCCGACACAGGAAACGTGACTCATGCTCCCCGGCACAGGAAACGTGACTCATGCTCCCCGGCACGGGAAACGTGACTCATGCTCCCCGGCACGGGAAACGTGACTCATGCTCCCCGGCACGGGAAACGTGACTCATGCTCCCCGGCACAGGAAACGTGACTCATGCTCCCCGGCACGGGAAACGTGACTCATGCTCCCCGCAACGCACATGAAACGTGACTCATGCTCCCCGACACAGGAAACGTGACTCATGCTCCCCGGCACAGGAAACGTGACTCATGCTCCCCGGCACAGGAAACGTGACTCATGCTCCCCGGCACAGGAAACGTGACTCATGCTCCCCAGCGCGGGAAACGTGACTCATGCTCCCCGACACAGGAAACGTGACTCATGCTCCCCAGCGCGGGAAACGTGACTCATGCTCCCCGGCACAGGAAACGTGACTCATGCTCCCCGACACAGGAAACGTGACTCATGCTCCCCAGCGCGGGAAACGTGACTCATGCTCCCCGACACAGGAAACGCGACTCATGCTCCCCAGCGCGGGCAACGCGACTCATGCTCCCCAGCGCGGGCAACGCGACTCATGCTCCCCAGCGCGGGCAACGCGACTCATGCTCCCCAGCGCGGGCAACGTGACTCATGCTCCCCAGCGCGGGAAACATAACTTGTGCTCCTCGACGCGTCATGGAGAACTCTGTAACGTATCGGAAATATACAAATAAAAGAAAGGATGAATAAAAGTCATAAGTTGAGGGAGGTGGAGAGGTTGGGGGAAGGGTAGTGGGGGAGGTGGAGAGGTTGGGGGAAGGGTAGTGAGGGAAGATGGTTTTAGGAAAATTTAGGAAGAAAGAGAAAGGAGGAAAGTAGAAGAGTAAAAATAGTAGAGTAGAAGTAATGATAGAAAGATCAATCAACTTAGTTAATTATAAGATAAGGAATGGAACTTGTCTGTACAACAATATTATTTGATGTTATATCATGTATCAACTGTAAGCATGTACTCATATACCCAAGAATCTTTGTCATAATCTTAAGGCAGTAAACTTCAGAGTGCTCTTCACTCTAGCTTGCAATATATCATAGAAAATCCAAGATCTACGGATCACAATTAAATGCAATTTTTGCAAAAAATTAACAATGCAATTTAAAAGCAATTTAATCAATTATACATTTCCTGTTAGATCTTCACTCATATGTTTTTTTTTTTTGAGATATATACAAGAGTTGTTACATTCTTGTACAGCCACTAGTACGCGTAGCGTTTCGGGCAGGTCCCTGGAATACGATCCCCGCCGCGAAGAATCGTTGTTACAACCAAGTACACATTTTACTGTTGAGTTAAACAGAGGCTACAGTTAAGGATTTGCGCCCAGTAAATCCTCCCCGGCCAGGATACGAACCCATGACAAAGCGCTCGCGGAACGCCAGGCGAGTGTCTTACCACTACACCACGGAGACTGACTTCAACCTGTCAACCAGGAGACGTCAAAATTCAACCATATCACTTAATGTTCAAATTAATTCAGAAGAGTCGCCACACAAGAAATTGAGAACACCTACGGCTGACTGCCCCTGAAAATCACACAACACCTAAGGTGAAATCACAATATACGTCACCTTACAAGTTCACTCACCAAGGTCTCTGAGACTAAGTTTGATAGAGAGGAGAGGAGGACTACGGCTGACAGTCCCCACCCAGCCTGGGACAGGCCGAGTCTGGCTGTGGGAACCTCTCAACAAGCTATCTATCTACTGATATCCTGCTCAGTGTCTCAAATGTAAAGTTCCATGAGAATATATGGGGGGGGGGGTGAGGGAGGGACCGGGAGCTAAGCTCCACCTTCCAGGAGATAGCCTCTGGGTATCTACCTACCCCACCTAGACAGCAGCTTGTTTGATGGAAAGACAGCCAACCGGCTGCAATCATCAGCTTAGGAGAAAGCAAGGTCACTTCACACGAACGACCTAACCTAACCTACTCGACCAGTGACCATGAAATCTCTAAAGGTGTGACTTTTTAATTGTTAAGTGCCAACAAACTGGCGACACCAATATCCTGTGTGATTGAACTCTCGTTTTATGTAAAATAATATACAATCCCCATTTATGGTGTTACAACGTGACTCATGCTCCCCAGCACGGGAAACGCGACTCATGTTCCCCCAGCGCGGGAAACGCGACTCATGCTCCCCAGCACGGGAAACGCGACTCATGTTCCCCCAGCGCGGGAAACGCGACTCATGCTCCCCAGCGCGAGAAACGCGACTCATGTTCCCCAGCGCGGGAAACGCGACTCATGTTCCCCCAGCGCGAGAAACGCGACTCATGTTCCCCCAGCGCGGGAAACGCGACTCATGCTCCCCAGCGCGAGAAACGCGACTCATGTTCCCCCAGCGCGGGAAACGCGACTCATGCTCCCCAGCACGGGAAACGCGACTCATGCTCCCCAGCGCGAGAAACGCGACTCATGTTCCCCAGCGCGAGAAACGCGACTCATGTTCCCCAGCGCGGGAAACGCGACTCATGCTCCCCAGCGCGAGAAACGCGACTCATGTTCCCCAGCGCGAGAAACGCGACTCATGTTCCCCAGCGCGGGAAACGCGACTCATGCTCCCCAGCGCGAGAAACGCGACTCATGTTCCCCAGCGCGAGAAACGCGACTCATGCTCCCCAGCGCGGGAAACGCGACTCATGCTCCCCAGCGCGAGAAACGCGACTCATGCTCCCCAGCGCGAGAAACGCGACTCATTCTCCCCAGCGCGAGAAACGCGACTCATTCTCCCCAGCGCGAGAAACGCGACTCATGTTCCCCAGCGCGAGAAACGCGACTCATTCTCCCCAGCGCGAGAAACGCGACTCATTCTCCCCAGCGCGAGAAACGCGACTCATTCTCCCCAGCGCGAGAAACGCGACTCATTCTCCCCAGCGCGAGAAACGCGACTCATGCTCCCCAGCGCGAGAAACGCGACTCATCCTCCCCAGCGCGAGAAACGCGACTCATTCTCCCCAGCGCGAGAAACGCGACTTATGTTCCCCAGCGCGAGAAACGCGACTCATTCTCCCCAGCGCGGGAAACGCGACTCATGCTCCCCAGCGCGAGAAACGCGACTCATGCTCCCCAGCGCGGGAAACGCGACTCATGCTCCCCAGCGCGAGAAACGCGACTCATGTTCCCCCAGCGCGGGAAACGCGACTCATGCTCCCCAGCACGGGAAACGCGACTCATGCTCCCCAGCGCGAGAAACGCGACTCATGTTCCCCCA